CACTCTTTTTCTTGTTACCAAAATAATAAAGTTTAGTGAGAAATAATCTTTGTGGTTTTTCCAGCTTCCTGTGAAAAAAATGATTCATATTAGAAAATGACACATCCATTAGATTATACATTAACTACAAAGACCATTAGAGCATATACGCTAATTTCGGCTATCTTTCTTGATGTTCCCTCGTTCTTTGCTAGAACCTTATCACCTCTTGAAATTTTCACAAGTCCACTCTTTCGCTCTCTTAAGGCTGAACTGTGATTAATACTAATTTCTGATCAAAACAAGTTACCTACATAAATCATAACTAAAAGTCAATCTGGCAATGACTGTAGCTAATTAAATATACCCGGATTCTAGCGTTGTAAGTCCGCAGACATACCGCTGCTCTATAATAATCAAAATATACAATAAAAAAATTGTGTAGTTTAGGAAATTTAGGTTAGTCCTAAATCCACTTACTAATCTAGTAGTGTAAGACAATTCTTCTAATATAAATATATTATAATGAACATTAAAAATTTGAAAAACAAATAAATGAAACATACTTGTTGTTCAGATAAGCAGGTGTAGTGTTATACTTACAGCAAAGGAAATACAAATACACTTATCTAACATAAAATATTTATTTAAGTTCACAATCTTTCTACACTCGATTTACAAGGATGACGCCAACTACATGCAGAACACTTTCTTGAAAATTTAGGGAAAGCTATCTCAGTATATCTGAATAAAAATACATTATTTACTAGTTATAAAAAGTTACTTATTTTAATATTTTCAATCACCACAAAGTTAGTTTCAGTAGATGTTTACTGATGAGATATATCATAAAATAAGCACGTCTACAGTGTCTGAACTGTAGGACTGAAATTTGTAATGAGCTGCTCCTGTCTTGTTTCATAAGTGGAATGATTTTTTTTCTATGCCTCAGTGCTCAAGAAACAATGTAGATTCATTGTGTTGCAAAATTTATATCCTAGAACATAACAGTAGCAAAACTACTAACAAATAACAGTTTGCTTAAGGTGAAATAGATGGTTGCTCACTGACATTTATATTTTCAACCTGAAGAAAGATGGACTAAACGGCTAGGTCAGAGATCCCCACGGTTCGGGTAGCCGAGCCGATCTTGGCAGTAATTTTAACTTGAAAATCTTGAGCGTGGCTTGAGAGACAACCAGGGGCGCTCAGAAACTATTGTTTCTCTTCGCCCCGTTTGCGAAAGTTAGCGGTAAAAGCGTAACTAAATTGCATAGATTTAACAAGTGTGTGTGACGGGAGAGAGTAAAATATATTAGGCAGTGGTTTATTGATTGACAGGCACGGCGTATGAGTGCACTTTTTAATTTTTTTTAGTGTCCAATTGCTTGCGGTCAAATCTCCCAGTCAAAGGCTGAGTCTCAATAGATCGCAGTGCTCTACTAAGCACGACACTCCTACTGATACCATCGTCGTCTGCGGGCGAGTTGGTGCCCCCACATTTCACAGTGTCAGAATTTAAAAATCTGATCTTTGCCAATTGTCAAAATAAAAAGGGTTTTAGTTATATTTCTTAATAATATAAATATATACTATGTTGTTGTTGGACTTAGGATTCTTCTACAGTAGGTGTCTGTGACTTGTTAGCCATAAATTCAGAGATGAATAAACAGCATGCACTTCACTTGTTATCAAAATAATATATATATTCAGAACAAGTTAACGTGTATACAATAAATTCTTCAACACTATAGATATTATGGACATATCATAAATATTATATATGTAGTTCTCTTCTCTTTGTCAAATATCCACTTAGGCCAATTCAATTACTTTAAAATTTCAGTTGACAAACCGAACTATTTTCTCTATTTCTGTCGCACTAGCATTCTCTATAATTCACTTACAATTGTGGCGCGAGTTACCGTAATCGTTTGGTTTTCTTTCCTTTGAAGATTCTCTGCTCTTTTTGTCAAAGTGCACTCAAGTTGATTCAACTACTTTAGAACCACTCTTTGACAGAATAAAATTGTTTTTCTTATCTTCTTTACTACTGTTAATTTCACTCTAACATATTAAACGTTAGGCCTGTCACTTCTACGGTAATTAACGTCACATCAACTTTATTCTCTTTTGCTATTGTCTGTCTACTGCTTGCCACTTGTCTCACGCTATTTATATCATCACTTAATCATCTGTCCGCCTTCTGTATTCTAGACGTCAATGAATTATTAACAAAATTTCCTACAATCATCTGTTTTTAACTCTAATTATAACAAAAACAAAACAATAATAAAATATTTACTCACAAAAATAAATTAATCACTAATATCTAAACCAAACAGTCTTTTATATCATGACACCCAGGTTCAGGTACAGTAAAGGTAAAGAGCTTTCGAAAGGTGCCTAGATTGTTGTTGGGAGTATCACTGAAAGAGAAGAAAATGAATGGGAAATTAAGGAAATGGCAGGTTCTATAAAATAGAGGAAAAGGCAAGAGAAGCGAGGCTGAAGTAGTTTGGTTACATGAAGAGAAGAGGAAAAGAACAAGCAGTAAGGAGAATGTTAGAGCTGCCAGTAGCTGGCAAGAGAAGACAGGGAAGGCCAGAAAAGCGTTGGAAAGATGGGATTAAAGAAGACATGAACGAGAAAGGAATTGCTGAAAGTCTGGAAATGAACAATGGTGATTGGAAGAGGGCAACATGTGTGAACGATGGCGACCCTTACTAAAGAGAAAACCAGAAGAAGAAGTTTTAAGGAATCTATTATATTTATCCAGATAAAGGTACCTAATGTGAAATATGGGTTGAAGGGTCACGTCAGAAACCCCTAAGCATGAGTCGCGATGTTCCCTAATTTAAAGCTACTGAGCTGAAGGAGAAAAATTAATCATTAGCTTTTGTAACTATTGTTGACTGGATAAAAAGCCACCTTACAGGTGAAAACGTGGAGCATGTTCAGCGGCATAACGCAGCTCGAATTTTGGATCATCTGGCCCTGCACTCCAGCATATTAACCACTAAGCCATATCCAGTGCAGTGGGGCAAAAGACTATAGTATTATGTTTCTCATATAATACTGTTACGACAGCGGAAGTCACGTGACTCTGGTAATACGTAATGAGTTCTAGAAAGATCGGGGAACATCACAAATAATCCAGTATTTGCTAGGCGCCCTCTATTCTTGTATATAAGTGCGCCAAACAATGAATCGGGATAGAATTGCAGACAGGCAGAGATAGAGA